AGCGAAAAATGTGCGCAACAAATCAGTGCTCAGGAACCGAGCCGACGCCTTCGATTCGCGAGAATAAATTCACCTTGTGGAAAACCGGCTTTAGTCACATGATACGACACACGTCAATATAAAAGGAACAAAATTGAGAAAGCTTTAATAGGCCTTTATTAAAAGTTATTTATATTATAATGCACAGTATTATAAGGGTCGCCGAGAACCCGGGGGCATCTTCGCTGCCCTGGCCCAGAACTTTGGTCATGGAATGTTGTGGCCGAGTCTGATGAAATCTGTGCATTGTAGGCTGTTATATAATTAAAGTAGTTTTTCGTTGATTATGACCTTGACCATTGACCAGGACACTTTAAAAGTTGATTATGTTTGACGTCTGATAAAAAAAAAAAATTGTTGGCTGTAGGCTGTTATATTAAAAAAGTTTTTCTTCGATTTTGACCTTGACATGCGACCATAATTTAATCACCCCCAGATCTTTGGTGCTATATGGATAATTGTGACCATGATTTGACATTCTGGTAAAAAGTGTTGGCTCAAGGCTGTTATATATAAACAGTAGTGTTTCGTAGATTGCGACATTGACCTTTGACCACAACCCTTCAAAATTTAATCACCTCTTTGGCCATGGATCATTATAACCAAGTTTTGAGAAGTTTCTGACAAACAGACAAATAAGCAGACAAATAAAAAGACAAACAAACAGGGGCGAATACTTAACCTTCTTGGCGGAGGTAATTATATTGTTTATCTTTATTTTCGAGTACCTCGAAGAGCCGTACCGGTAATTCCACCTATGGCAGCACACAAAACACGATAAGAAAAACAACACGGGAAAAGATGTACCATAATTTTAGTTTAATACATATGCGAATGTTAATATTTGTCCCACATAACAAAATCATAAAAAAGTGAAATTAATTTGCTAATTTTGAAGTAAAATAAATATTGTCAACTTAAACATAGAAAGTGTATGTATACATACATACATATATATATATATATATATATATATATAATAATATATATCTAC